ATATAATCTGCCCAGAAAACTTTGATCTGCAGTGCATCCCACAGCAGGGTGGGAAGTACCAAGAGGCTTCTGACCTTGCTCCATCTAAGGCATATGCTACCCTAAGTAGAATAAGAGAGTAGAAAATGAGAAAAACAAGGTTTGGAAATAAATAAATAAATAAATAAATAAATAAATAAATAAATAAATAAATATCACACACTTACTAGTGCCAGGGTTGCCACTAGAGCTGTACTGGTTTATGGGATGCTTTCTGGTGCCTTGAGCTCTGTTTATTATAAATGACCCCTACTAAAGATCTGACCCAACACTATGCCAAGTGAAATAAGTCAGAGAAAGACAAGTACCATGTGATTTCACTCCTATGTGGAATCTAATGAAAAAAATTTAACTAACAAACAAAATAGAACAGACTCATAAATAGAGAAGAGACTGACAGCTTTCAGAGGGAGTGGGTTGCAGGGTTTGGTGAAAAAGGTGAAGGTATTAAGCAAAAAATAAACAAACTAATAGACTCAGACAACAGTGTGGTGATTACCAGAGGGAAAGGGGTTGGGGATGAAGGGAGGTAGAATAAGGTAAAAAGGGAATAAGTGGTGATGAAAGGAGACTTGACTCGAGGTGGTGAGCACACAATACAATATACAGGTGATGTATTTTAGAATTGCAAACCTGAAACCTATATATTTGTATTAACCAGTGTCATCCCAATGAATTCAATAAAAAGAAAAATTAATTTAAAAAAAGTTCTGACCTAAAAAATTCTAATTTTCCTGACGTAAATATGTCCACAGACATAGTAGGACGGCCATATTTTATTGTCATGATTTCAATTGCTTTGCTTAAAAGGAGGATTTTATTTAAAAAATTGTTTCTTTTATCTTATATTTTAGTGTATTTGCTGGAAACAGGATGTGCAACAAAGGGTAAGTAGTTTTATTGTAAAAATGACTGAATGGTTTGACAAACTCAACCAAAGCAGATATGATCTAGACTAAAGGTAAATTATTAGTAAGACTAGAGTAACAAGGGACCAGATCAAAGAAAGGTGTGAAGTAGTCATGGAATAACAAACACAGGCCTAACCATTCATCAAGTCAGTACATTTGTATTGCTAGGCATACAGTAGCATCTCCGCCCACATGGCGTTGATTTATAAAATTACCCTACATGATGGAAATTGCCTTGGGGTTCAAGTGATGGTTCATCTATTCAGACAGTGACACAAAATTGCAATACTATGTGATAAATACTGTGGTTTTAAAAATACAACTGCTCTGGGAGACAGAAAAGTCACAATCTGACTGTGGCATCCTGGGAGGCTTCCAGAAGGAAAAAATAAGGGAGTTGCATCTCGCAGGATAAGATGGAGTGGAAGGAACAGGAAGCATAATGTTTTGAGGCTGGAGAGAGCAGAGGTGATTTAAACACCCTTGAGCTCTCAGCTGAAATCCCCGGACTCAATTATCCATGGCTTGATATCCATTAGCCCTGCTGAGCACATCCTCCTGTGTGCTCCCTCCACAGCACCTGCCACAACCTTGACGAGCTGAAACCGGCTGAAAGCATTTTCAAGGAGCTCTACGAGGACAGAGATACCTGCCACTTTTTATTAAATCCCCAGCATCTGGAATAGTGTCCAGCAAATAATAGATACTCAACAAATTTTTGTTTACTAAATGAACCAATGAATGAAATGCAAGCATCAGCTTACTGCTTTGGGACACTGGTTGAGTAAGTTTGAAGCATGTCTTAGGAGCTTATGAGCACTAGAACTTTGTTTGAAACAATTGTATGAACAAGTAATACAGTCCTTAATTGGTGTCCACGGTGTCCTCATGTATTTGAAAAATCATATAACTGTGTATTGTGTATGGTAGTTAAAGCAAAAATTAAAAATCCCTCCCCACTGAAAATTCTGAGAAAATGAAATATGGGTGTCAGTGAGTGGACAGCTACACATGTACAGTCTCTCAGAGAAATAAGTGCTCACACTGTGTTCTCACAAAGAGCAACTTCCAATCCTTTCTACAAAAAGAATTTTATTATCTTACTAGTGGCCCGGTGCACAAAATTTGTGCCCCTTGGGGGGCGGGGAGGCTGGGAGTTCCCTCAGCCCAGCCTGCACCCTCTCCAATCAGGGACCCCTTGGGGAATGTCTGACTGCCAGCGGTCGGACATCCCTCTCACAATCTGGGACTGCTGGGTCCTAACTGCTCACCTGCCTGCCTGATTGCCCCTAACCCCTCTGCCTGCCTGCCTG